AATGATGGTGTTGAATGCTGAACTGAAGTCTATGAACAGCATTCTAACATATGAGTCTCTAGTGTCCAGATGTGTGAGGGCTGAGTGAAGGGCAGTTGAAATTGCATCATTGGTTGAGCGTTTTGACCAGTATCCAGGTTGGGGGAAAGAGATAATTTGATTTGATGCATGACTAACTGTTCAAAGCACTTCATAATGATGGAGGTGAGTGCAACCGGACGGTAGTCCTTAAAGCAGGAGATAGATGCCTTTTTTGGTACACTAATGATGGTGGAGGCTTCAGTGCATGTGGGAACGACAGCCTGACCCTAATGATGCATTTTTGAGTTCCACAGCATAGCTCGTCCAAGGATATTATCAGGACCTGGAGCTTTGCATGTATTGATTTTGGCAAAGGATCTCCACACACTCTCTGGGGATTATGTCGCCACGGTTTGAGGAGTGGGCTTGTAGTCTGTGATGGTTTGTATTGCCTCTGATGGCAGGTGGCAGGTTTGTCCTTGCTGTTCTTAGGCTCACCTAATCCCCTGCTCTGAAGGCTGCATTTCTCAACTTTAGGAGCCTTTAGAACTCACCTGTGAGCCATGGTTTCTGATTGGTAATAGTCCTGGTCTATGTGACATCATTGATGCATTTTGGGATGTAGGCAATGACAGTTTCTGTATATTCCTGAAAGTCTGTGGTGCTGTCGTGTGTGGCAGCCTGTTTAAAGATCTCCCAGTCTGCAGTGGAAAAGCAGTCTTGCAGTGCCTCTGAGGACCCTTCTGGCCACACACATACCTGCTTACGAACTGGTTTGGTGACTTTGACCAGGGGCCTGTATGCTGGCATTAGCATAACAGTCATGTGATCAGAGGCACCAAGGTGGGGGAGGGAGAGGCCTTTGTAATCTCCTCTCTGTGTGGTGAAAACATTGTCCACAAAACAATGACACAAATGAACATAATGACACCACAGGGAAAGAGAAACTAAACACATTGAAAAAGACACTCAAGACTCTTTCAAAATAAACCAAGAAACACTGAGAAAATAACAATAATCAAAGAATAAAACTAGAACACACAAAACACTGTGTCGTAGACCCAGTACCATGACAACAGGATCCATATGGTTTTTCACTTAGGCAGCAGTTGTCCTTCTCTCCTGGAACGGCTGGAGCTTTCTTTTGCCGCTTTCCCAGCTTTGAGAAAAGTCCAGCTGGGATAACCACATTTACTCAGGGCCTACTTGATGTGATGTTCTTCTGC